TTCACAAGGTTTTCACACACTGTTGCTGGTATTTTGGCCCATTCCTCCATGCAGATCTCCTCTAGAGCAGTGATGTTCTGGGGCTGTCGCTGGGCAACATGGACTTTCAACTCCCTCCAAAGATTTTCTATGGGGTTGAGATCTGGAGACTGGCTAGGCCACTCCAGGACCTTGAAATGCTTCTTACGAAGCCACTCCTCCGTTACCCGGGCGGTGTGTTTGGGATCATTGTCATGCTGAAAGACCCAGCGACGTTTCATCTTTAATGCCCTTGCTGATGGAAGGAGGTTTTCACTCAAAATTTGACGATACATGGCCCCATTCATTCTTTCCTTCACACGGATCAGTCGTCCTGGTCCCTTAGCAGAAAAACAGCCCCAAAGCATGATGTTTCCACCCCCATGCTTCACTGTAGGTATGGTTTTCTTTGGATGCAACTCAGCATTCTCTCTCCTCCAAACACGACGAGTAGAGTTTTTACCAAAAAGTTCTATTTTGGTTTCATCTGACCGTATGATATTCTCCCAGTCATCGTCTGGATCATCCAAATGCTCTCTAGCAAACTTGAGACGGGCCTTGACATGTACTGGCTTAAGCGGGGGGGCACGTCTGGCACTGCAGGATTTGAGTCCCTGGCGGCGTAGTGTGTTACTGATGGTAGCCTTTGTTACTTTGGTCCCAGCTCTCTGTGGGTCATTCACTAGGTCCCCCCGCGTGGTTCTGGGATTTTTACTCACCGTTCTTGTGATCATTTTGACACCACGGGGTGAGATCTTGTGTTGAGCCCCAGATCGAGGAAGATTATCAGTGGTCTTGTATGTTTTCCATTTTCTAATAATTGATCCCACAGTTGATTTCTTCACACCAAGCTGTTTACCTATTGCAGATTCAGACTTCCCAGCCTGGTCCAGGTCTATAATTTTGTTTCGGGTGTCCTTTGACAGCTCTCTAGTTTTGGCCATGGTGGAGTTTAGAGTGTGACTGTTTGTGGTTGTGGACAGGTGTCTTTTATACTGATAACGGGTTCAAACAGGTGCCCTTAATGAAGGTAACGAGTGGAGGACAGAGGAGCCTCTTACAGAAGAAGTTACAGGTCTGTGAGAGCCAGAAATTTTGCTTGTTTGTAACTGACCAAATACTTATTTTCCACCTTATTTTGCAAATAAATTCTTTAAAAATCAGACAATGTTTATTTCTGGATTTTTTTTTCTCATTTTGTCTCTCATAGTTGAGGTATATCTATAATGAAAATTACCGGCCTCTCTCATCTTTTTGAGTGGGAGAACTTGCACTATCGGTGGCTGACTAAATACTTTTTTGCCCCACTGTATATATAAAAAACCGTAACTGGAGCGTGTAACAAAGCAATTTTCCTCTGGGATTATTAAAGTATTTCTGATTCTGATATTCAAACAAGCATTCAAAAGGATGATTGCAAATCTGGAGGTGCTGCAGAGATCAGCAGCTCGGGTGGAAAAATCTGTTGAAATCTCAAGAACTGAACAAATCGGAACTTTATGACACAGTGACAAAAAATTTAATCATTGAAAAAAAAAGCAGCTTGTTACAAGTTATTAGATGACACAGTGAGCATTTAGGAGAATGTGCTCCGCTAAGAGAGCAGACTAGTATATCATCTCCGATGAGAAATATGGTGGAGGTAGATATTTTACTTGAGCAGGACCAGAGAAGTTAGAACTCAGAACTGATGAGAAAGTAAAAAAAAAAAAGATAAATTCCAGTAAATCAATGTGTGAAAACATTTTAGATGTGGAGAAAGACTTAAAACTTGGGTTGGGGTTCAACTTCAAGCAGAATAAAATTCAGAACTCAAATGGAGTGATTTAGACCCCCCAAAAAATCTCAAATGGCCCAGTCAATGTCCAGACCTCAATCCAAGAGTCGAATCCATGGCCAGCTAAGGTCATTTCTGTTCAGAGATCCTATTTTTAAAATATCCATTATATGTTATTCAGCCATTCCCTTCCATTGTTTTGTATCCTCTCTATTTATTCACAGAACTTTAAAATCTAGCAGACAAGTTATACAAATGGCTTCCATTGTGTGCTTACTAAGTGTGCCGTCTTGTTTTTGTATTGAACTGCCAATACTCTGAGTACTTTAAGTAAGATTGCTCCTCTATGAGAAATTGTGCACTTAACTTTTGGGTGTAATTGTGACATTTCACAAGAAGTGGGGTCTGGTTGCATATGCTTTGTTGTTTGGTGCAACAATTCACATTGTAGTTTCTGTGATTTAGGAGAGCCTTGTTAGAATCTGACCAGGCAATATGTTTCAGTGCAGGTCTGTGGTACATTAAAACCAAATGAGCTACAGGAACAGACCATGACAGCCATTCATCAAAGTAAGACCTTTAGAAAAAAAAATCTGAATCAATATTTTGATTTTATTTTTCACTGTTCATTTGCTTCTTAATGCATAAAATCTGATTTTCCTATTTTTGGTGCTAACCAAACGAAAGCCGATTTGAGCAAAATTTATGCCTTTAATCTGTCAGGCACAGATGCCTGCTTTTTGGCATCCCAGAACATATTGTTTGAACAAGATTCTTAATAATTTATAATGATTTTCTTAGTGAAACTGTACAAAACAGTTACTAATAATATTTGCCAACAAGAGAAATGCAAAAACCTGAACAGTGCCATTCATCTTCCCCTTTCAGTTTATAAAGGACATTGCAGAAAACTAGATCAGATAATAGAAAATCTTTGCTTATTTGAAGCACTTTATGTGTGTGCACACTGCCCTCTTGTGGTTGAGTTTCAAATTGCAGCTGCATAACGGGCGTTCTTGGAAAAAAATACTTTTCACAAGTATTGCTTTTGTAAATTTACATTTCAAAGCCTTGCAGTTTCAATAATCAAGATGTATTTTTGTCCAATTCAGTATAAATCGTTTCCGGTTTCACTCCGCTTGCATCTGTCAACATGCTTTAAATGCCTTTTTATAATCACAAGACTGATGAAATAATTCAGTGTCAGTAACGTCAACTATGTGGTTTAAGTAAAATATGTTGTTGCTCATAATATATACATTTTTCAGAGGGTTAAAAATTGCAGCTAGTGAAGCCAAAAAAAAAAAAAACAGCATATCAAGATAAATTGTATATTACATCAGATAGATAAAGACGTCCCAACACAATCATAGGGAAATCTGATGACTTGAAAGATGTCCAGGACATTATCTGGCAGAAAAGATTCATAAATAATTAAAGTAATTCCAGCCATGAGGAGATTGCAAAACCCCATCGCTAGCTGTCAGCAGAGAGAATGCTCTTATGTTTATTTGTAAAGCACTGGACTCTGAACAAACATGACATAGCAGATTTCTGGTTACTCGTTAATATGTAAAAATAAAAATAATAAGGGAAAAAGACAGTTAAAGCAAATTTCCTAAATCTGTCACTGAACAGAGGCTCCTGCAGGAATGACTTCACCCAAACAAAAACTTCTGAATCAGACCCAAATGGTTAAAAAAGGGTTTTACTTGACTCCTCTCTATACTGAATCAATTTCTTACCCCTTTAGCCTCCACTTATAATTTCAGTCATGCGTTTATATATTTCACTGTCAAAAAGAAAAATAGCTCCTTTTCTTTAGTAGAAATCCATCCATCCCTTTTTCCTCAGGCTTATCCCTGCTCAGGTCGTGACAGGTGCTGGTGCCTATCTCCAAATGTCTAAGGCGGGATACACGCTGGACAAGTAAACAACCATTTTGTTTGTGTTTTTGGACTGAGAGGAAGCTGGAGTACCCAGAAAGAACCCATGCATGCACATGGAGAACATGCAAACTCCATGCAGAAAGATGCTGGGTAGGGAATCGAACCCGGAACCTTCTTGCTGCAAGGCAGCTGTGCTACCCACAGTAGAAACCCACTTCAATGCAAAAACAATCTAGAAATAAGCAAAAAAAAATTCTCATAAGTGTATTTCCCCTTAATTCATGTAGATAAAAAAGATGATTTACCAATGAAATAAGTATATCTACTCTTAAAATAAGAATTAGATAATATGCACTTGGAAAAAGACAATGCCTTTTTTTCTTATTTCAAATGCAAATTTTCTTGTTTAAAGCTACAGTGTGTAATAATTACAGGGATATACAGTCAGAAATGTAATATATTATAACTGTTATTTATCATCATCTACGAGCTCAGCCTCTTAACCATAATATTTGCGTTGCCTTAGAATTCGTTATTTATAATTACATAGGAGCGGGTCTCGCAGCCATGGAGGCAGACATCTTTGCGCTACGGCAGCGCAGAGCCAACAAACTAGCGATTGCGAGATCGCCCATTACGCTCAAAAGTAAGTATATTTATTATCTTAAGTCTACATGAAATCTATACCCTACACAGACTAATGAAATACTATCTGTAAAATTATCTAAACAAACCTCATCACTTATTAAAAAAAAAAAAAGATTTTTGTAGTGTTGTTTTCTGCATTATTGAAAATATGAGAATCGTCATTTTTTTCATGAGCTGTAGCTCATACAAAAAAAAAATACACACACCTACGAGATAACATCAATGTAAATGTACCTGCATGTAAATCTGAACTAGACATAGATGACTAATAAAGATAAAGGAAAAAGATCTCCCTCCCTGAACCAAAAAAAGAAGAACTTATATAATCTGTGCTTTATTGAGAAAAAGATTGTACAGTGTGAAAGGTTGATTGAAAGAGCAGTGTTGATCATAAGGTTAAAACCCACATTTTAACCAGCAGCTGTCTGGGCAGCACAAAGCAAATCTGCAAAAATCAAATCTGTAAAGCACAGCACACATGTAAATGCACGTAACAAAGGCCATCAACTGATTGAGATAAAAAAAAAAAAAGGCATGAAACAGCAGAAAAATGTGATTGCAATAAAAAAAAAACATTTCTTAAGCCAGTTGTGGACAGCTTAATGCTAGGTGACCTAGATCTACTGACTAAATCTCTTCCAGCCTGCAATAACTTTTTGCATCAATGGCGATGTGTTGACAGAAACCTATAGAACGAAAGGCCTGCCTCAGAACACCTGCACAGCAAAGTCTGGGCAGCAAACATAGAAAAAAATGATTCTCCTATAAATTACAATATTACATTCCATCCTGCACCAATCATTTAAGTTTGTAAATGGCTTAAACGCAAAATCATCCAACACCATCCATCATCATGAATACTCCTCCCTGATCTAATGCTTAATGTGCATCTTTAAAATGCCTAACTACTTCATTTTACATCCATTAACCAAATTTTAGCATACAGAGGCCACTGTGCATTTTTCATAACAGGTTGTTGGAAAACAACTTCAAGAGAATAATTCAACATATATTCTGTAAATATTTTTTTTTTTAGATAAAGAAAAAAAACCTACATTTAAATTATCGGTACAGCTTGAAAACAAACAGTCTATTTTCTTGTTTTATCTACAAGGTGCAACCAGTGAGTAGTTTGACAAATACATGTTGATTTTTTGCCAAATTTACATTGCTGCTCTGCTTAGCTAGTTAATGCTTTTTATATAAATATATGCATGACACAGAAAGTGCTTTGTGTGCCAGTACATGGCTTGGTTCAGCTGCTGAGAGAGAAATCTATCTCGGTTAATTTTATTAGGAAAGCTAAAGGTTACAAGCGATTATTTGTTTAAGTCTAACTGAGTATCAATTAAGTGCACTGCAAGAGCAGCACAGCAGCAGCTGGACAAGGACCATAGACTTGAATAAGACCTCTATATCAAAAATAAACCCAGAGAAAACAAAAACAGAAAAATCAAAATAGGCAACCAACTTTATAGATCTACTCCAAAATATGTTAATTTTTCCCCCTGCTTTAATGTAAATCTTTAAAAAAGGCTAAGTGTCTCTACTATGCGAGTGATCATACAAAGAGGATCTAGACATGAGGAATGAACAGTGCCAATCAGAAAATGTAATCTTTGGTCATCTTGAGGGACGGCATGGCCTCGTTGACGTTCTGGTCCAGGCGCCGATACTCCACGTTGTTGCGGGAACATAAACCTTCTTTCCACCGACGGCTCTGAACCAATAGCAAAATCTGAGGAATAAGAAACAGAGCGATGATGAGTAAAATGCTAATTGAAATCATTTGATGGACAGGAAAGACTCATAATATTGGAATCCCTAAAGGTATAACGGAGGATGTTCTTTTTCTGGATGGATCATCAAAATAAGTGGTCCTTCTAATTGTCAATCATTCTGGTGATACGTTTACATAACACCGCCCTACGTGCTCTCCCCCATTTTCACTTACCGGTTTTGAGAACAATGGAGATCAGATGGGGGAAACTAAGCATTTATGTAGTGTTTCTCCCCAACTCTTCCTACATCAATGACTGAGTGAAAACACAAATGATTTTAAGGCCATTATAATGATCTTCTTTACTTATCTTTTTAACTTGCCATTTTATTCCACATATCAGGCTCCATTTTACTTACTTTTTAAGCTGCTCTTTTGTCATTTTGTTTTATTTTAGCCTTAATGGTAGTTTTTTTTTGCTTGAATTTTTGTCTATTGACCCCTTTAGGTGTATTATCAGTTCTTCTATGCAGTTTGAATGATTGAATTAAAATTACATTAAACATCCATGTTTAAGGACAACTATGAACTATGAACCCAGGCACCAACCTTCCCAAGTTAAAAACCCCTTATTTCCACAACCCTCTGAAACCGATCCGTGCCAAGTTTGCACCGAGCTTGGATCGGTTAACCGTGCCGAGCTCAGTTCCTTACAACCATTATATACCACGCTAGCAGTTCCTCGCCTTCCCTTTTGTGAAGTGGATACGTCAAACTATAGTCTAATCAGGGCTTACAAATGCAGGAAACAACGACAGGCATTGAGGTTTATTACACTGCTAAGCAGAATTATAACTGGAAATTGTTTGGCACAGTAGGGAAGCTAGTATTTTTATGAATATTTGAAATTTCATGATTACGGAGGCTGACTGTAAGGAGATGACGCACTCTGCTCATGCGCTCTTTGTTATCAGAGAAACAAGCAGAAACTGAACCACGCCGAGCCCTACTGATGAACTAGTACCATGTTAGCGTGGTTCGGTTGTGTCTGGCACGGTCCGGTTTAGTTGTGCGTGCCATTTATACTCAGTTACCTTGCTCAGACCCACCTCGGCACGGTTTTCACTTACGCTAATATGAGGTAAATAATTACACAGGGCTGTTTTAAGAACTAAGCTTTTGTAAACAGAAATCCCCAAAGGATCACTATTTAATTTAAGAAATTCTCCATTTTTGTCATATCAGCCATGCCTCCTTAAAATAAGTCTACAGCTAGAGTTTAGGTTATACAGGAACAATGAGGACCGATAATCTGGCTTTAAACTGAGATGGTAGTATTGTTTCACCCTTTTCACTTATTTGTTCTCCTCAAAAACCAATGTGATCTATAAACACCTAGTAAGCTACTAAAACCTTTAATTTGGGGGATGGTTTTTGGAGTAAATGCATTTTTCCCCGGATCATCTCTTAATTTATCGGCTGGAATAGACTGCAGAGACAATGGATGAAACATAAGCAGTATATAATAATTTTATAATGAATTTCATGACCCCATATTTTTCCTAAATATATATTTTACAAGAGAAAGTGTTGCAGGATTCTTTCAGCTAGATGGTCACCAGTGGATGGGGCTAAGCTGAGGTACTAAATCAGCCATACAGCTCAAAAAAAATAGTCATTTTAACACATTCTCAGCATGTCATCAGAATTTGTAACCACAGCAGGAGCAAGATTAAAATATCTAAACTAAAAAAATATATTAAAACACTGATCATCAACCCATAATTACCATCATGGAAAAACTCACCTTCCTCTTGTTGTGATATGTAATGTAGACAATGGCCACCAGGAGAACCAGGATGACCAGGTGAAAGAAGAAGTTGGAGTCCTGATTTTCAGAGTCGTTGCTGTTGGGTTCATATATCTGTGATGGCTGTTTCATTTTACTTTGGTCTTTATTGTCTTTTAACTCAAAGATGCCGTCATTGGTGGATTGTATGTAATCCTCACTGTCGTCATCATCGTCATTATCATCGTAATACTTGTCATTTGTATCGTCCAAATTATTAGTGTTTTCAGATTCCTTGTCGTCGGTTGGCAGCAGGGCATCAATACTCTCCACTGTGGTTGGGTTTGTCGTAGCGTCTTTGATGTCATTTTCAGGCTTTTCTGTTTCGGGTGTTGCCGCTTTGGTGGTAGTAGGAGCTTTTGAAGGAGGTTGTGTAGTCGGTTTTGTTGCTGTCGCATCTGGTCCCAGAGAAGCATTTTGCACTGGATTTGTAGTATCACTTACTTTGTCTATTGACCCCAGGGTTGACGAAACAGATGAACTCTTTGTGGTGACTTTTTTACCATCCGGCTGTGTGGTTTTCTGGATAGTTGTGGTTTTGCCGTCATTTTGGGGTATAGGATTAGTGGCGTTGGATCCTGGCAAGTTGTTTGTAGTAATACTTGGATCTGAATGATTTCTTGAAGATGTTACACTCATTAGGGTTGGCGAAGCAGGTGGGTTGCCTTGTACAGCAGATCCTTTAGGGTCTGCATGGAACAAATAAAGAAATCGTTGAGAAGGCAAAACTACATACAGCAGGACAATTTTATGTCAATATATTTGCTTTGGGAGACATCCTTTTCAACTCACACACAAAAATGAACTAAATCTGCCCTCAATCCTACTGGTAGAATAAGTTGCTTTTAACAAAGATTTTTTATTAAATTGAGGGAGGTCATATGGGGGTGGGTGGCATATGGATATGGATCGGATAGTACTCTAAGCATCTGCAAACTAGAAAGTCATTACATCTGACCCTTACATCATTGCCCTGGACCGATACAGCTTGCAAATTTTAGCTTCTGGCTCGTTAGCCAACATCAACCAAAATGTAGCCGATATAAAAAATTCTGTTTTTTTGCTGCAAGCTGTGAAAGCTAAAGTTTTATTAGCTTTTCTGCCAGAATGACACCATTTAACAAACAAGTCCCATTACTTCATCTTCAGGGAATATGGGGCGTTGCCTTAAGACAGGACAAGAGGAAAACACTGGGAACTTTTGTGCGGAGTTAAGACATCCCCCAAGAAAAGAAAGCATCTATTCATTGCCACGGGACTTTGCCAGCATAAATAATCTCCAAACAAGAGGTCGGTTGTTTTGATTCTGTTAGTATAACATGTGATAAATGTAACCCCCAATTTTTCACGCTAAACAGGTCTCCTCAAACTCACAAAGATAAACATTTTACATCCAACATGTAAAGGTTAAACACGGATAAAACGGGCAAGTGTTTCCTTTCTGCTACTGAACAAACATTTAAAATACTGCAAAATCTTCATCAACAACTACAGCAAATAAAATCTACAGCAGAATCTCAACTCCTCAGTCAAAGCCATTTAAAACTCCTCCAAATAATTTGCACAAAAAATACTTTTTATTTAATGTTTTAATTTTTAAATATATAACTGGGAGCCGCTGTAAAGCACTTGTGTATATATGAGGCTTGATCTAAACATAATTACAGTATAATTATGACCAATGTTAAAACAATGATTTGTGTACACACAATTATACCAAAATTGTAAAAAATAAAAAAAAAACATTTATTTTTAAGATAAAAAAATAAAAGTTTTCTTTTGTCAATATGCTCTAATGCAAACCTTTTCATGTTGAAAAAAAATAATCCAAAGATTTTTTGCGATTACTATAATAACCATTATTTAAAGCCCTATATATCAGTTAAACGTATATAGGCCACAAACTAAATTTTTAGGCTTGATTGAGCGGACATGTGATAAATGTGCAACAAGACAATGACTTGACAGCCGTTGCAGTATTTTACCTGCTCCAACAAATACAAATAAGACATTGTTTCTAGGAAAAAGTCTCTGAATATCATTAATAATCAATGTCATATATTGTCATTGCCCTCAACAAACACAGGGCTGTCAACTCTCACCCACTGGGTGTGAGACTCAGTGTCTTCACACGCTCACACTCCTTATCCCCAATTTTTCACGCTAAAAAATGACTCCATTCCACTTATTTATATGGAAAAATACCATGATGATAAAAATCCAGTCCGCATTGTTAACACAACCTTAGTGCTAACACATAATGGGATGCCAGCTTACCGTATTTTCACGACCATAAGGCGCACCGTACTAAAAGGCGCACTCTCAGTAATGTGTCCCATTTCTGTATTTAACACACACATAAGGCGCACCGGACTATAGGGTGCGTTTTTTATATACAGGTACATGTCCTCTACTACCTTTAAATACCTCTACTGCGTATTTAAAAATACAGCGGGGGCAAAACTGAGTATGACTGTGCTTTATTCATGTATTTATTACAAAGTATTAATCAAACCTGGCAGCTGGCCGTGAGACAGACACATCGCAGATGACACAGCGCTGTGATCACTCCTAAATTAACTTAAAATCCTGAAACCTGCCGACGGAATATGTTCGCTTTTATTACCGGTATCGTGGTGCCTGCAGTTTAAATTATTTAGATGAAAAACACCTGCCAGCCACCGCGTGAACCCGGAGGCTGCCCAGCCTAGAGGCTGCTGATGAAAGGATTTCTACTGTCGGTGCACCGCTGGTATGTGGGGGTCTGAGCGCCTCCGACAGAAATAGATAATCTGGATGAACTGACTGCAATTATTAAGTTTTCAGGTGGCCTTTCTCACTTAAAAACATATTAAAACTACTTTATTCCCACTGATCACAGCAAATATAGCTGCAAGATTTAGATTATTTAGATGAAAAAACACCTGCCAGCCACCGCGCTGAAGAGGAGGAGACCCGGCCCAGAGGCTGCTGTTAAATTAAGTTTTCAGGTAGAAAAATAGAGCGGGAGCAAAACTGAGTATGTTTGTGCTTTATTCATGTATTTATTACAAAGTATTAATCAAACCCATCAAAGTCCTCATCCTCTGTTTCTGAATAAAACAGCTGCACTAAATCAGACATGCCAATTTCCCCTTCTTCGCTGTCAGAGTCACTTTCCGTGCAGCGCGGCTCCTCAGAAATGCCGGCTTTTGCAAAAGCTTGAACAACAGAGCCAGCAGACACGTTAGTCCAAGCATCTACAATCCATCCGCAAACGGTGGCGTAACTTGCCCGGCGCTGCCTTCCACTTATCCTGAAACTGTGGTCTCCGTCTGTCATCCATCGCTCCCACGCCGCTCGCAGCCTTACTTTGAACGGCCGCTTCACACCGATGTCGAGCGGTTGAAGTTCCTTTGTCAGACCCCCCGGGATAACGGCGAGCACAGCGTTCATTTGATTCATCTTTTTTTCACATCGGCTGTGAGATGGGCACGCAGCGATGGTGATGCGTGGAAAAAACCACCTAGTCTCCTCACATACACCTCCCTCAGCCACGCTTTCATCATCTCCTCATCCATCCAGCCTTTTTCATTTAATATCATATGTCATCAGAGCGCTGTGTCTGTCTCGCTGTCAGCTCCCAGATCAGCTTCTCTGATTGGTTGATGCGGCGCGTCCAGCAGCAAAACTTCAATTTTTCCATCTCGAGCAGCAGCAGCGCGTTGGCGGTGCGTCAGATGCTTAAACGCTCCCGACGTGCTGCACCTGCTGCTCAAAACGCGCTGCGGGACCTTTTGCTGCACCTATACGCGCGTCAACCATTGACTTTGCATGTAAACTCGCTGCTTCTGCTGCACCTGCTGGGTCCGGTTCACACCGATGTCGAGCGGTTGAACAGCGAGCACAGGGTTAATTTGTTTCCCCATGTTTTTCACATCAGCTGTGAGATGGGCACGCATGGAGTTACATATTAACAGCGATGGTGATGAGTGGAAAAAAAACACCTGGTCTCCTTACATTCAGCCACTCTTTCATCATCTCCTAAATGAGGTGGTCTCAAAAGTCGCAGTTACAACACACATAGGGCGCACCGCACCATAGGGCGCACCGCACATTTTGAGGGAAAAAAAAGACGTTTAAGTGCGCCTTATAGTCGTGAAAATACGGTAATTTCCAGTCTGTATTTTTGCACCAGCCGACCTATTCACTGTGCTGAGAGCAGCTGATGTCAGGGACCTGCTCCAGATATTGAAAAAAATACCTGGATCTCTGAGTAGTTATTAAAGGGGAACGCCGTTTTTTTTGTTTTAACATTGGGCCCTTGATTTTACGTTATTACATCCCATTCTACTCACCCATATAAGTTGTGTCATTTGGAGCTGTTCAAATGACACAAAACTCATTTTGTATCAAATGACACAAAATGAGTTTTGAATGCTGGCTTACCATAAAGGATAAATTATGAACAGTTTATTTTGTGCCTTCAAGTCGTTTGCCCATAGGAAGACGTTACTTGGATATAACCTAACGGAATATCTTCAGAACAGCTCCAAATGACACAACTCATATGGGTGAGTAGAACATGATGTGATAACGTAAAATCAAGGGCCCAATGTAAAAAAAACGGTGTTCCCCTTTAAGAGGTTTGTCACTTGAATCTTATTTTATCTGGACTTGGTTAATTCACTTTGTAAATTAATGAAGATTTTAAACAATCTAGCACTTGACTAAATATGAATAAAATAGACAGCAGTTAGCTTAAATTATCACTGTGGAGATGGAAGTGTAGGATCAAATCAAAAGGTTTGTTTTCTCTATTCCTAGTGGGTTTTTTTGTGAGCTTTACTACTGGTTTGTTCTAGTGTAGCCGCCTGATTTAGTCCTAGTTTTAGTCCATGTTTTGCTCACAAGTTAGATCATTATTGCTCAGATTAGTTTAATAATCTCCCGTTGGATTTTAGGACTAATTAAACCAAAACTAAACTAAACTAAATTCTTAAAGCTTTCAGCCAGGTATTTCTCACAAACCCATAGGAGGTCTGCAAAAAGAAAAAGAACTATTGCATTTTATTTTCCAAAACATCCGCCACCAAAGAAAAGACCAACCACATCCAGAGAGGATGTGCAGAACAACTCAGTTAGGATCGATATAAGAGGAACCAGAGGGATGTTATTTTATTAATACTTTTCTTATTCATGTATTCTTATTTTTAGTCCATTGAATATGTTTAAAAACTTAATTTAAAATCACATCTACTAAATCAAAGATCCACAGAAGTGCTGTCCTGTGTCATTGTACACTTTGAGTTCCCCATTTTTAGTTTACTTGAACAGTGTAAAATAACTCAAACACTGTTGTGAAATTCTGTTTACAGCAATATACAAATATTTTAGTTGGACTCATACTTCTTTACTTCAGTTCTCTGAAAATCACCAGAATTCAGAAAAGAATGTATATTGTGTGAAGAATGTTCCTCATAACTATAGATCACTTTACTGTGCTTTAAAAATTCAACATTTTACAACTTTGTTTCAGTCAAATCCTCTGAAGACCTCCAACCTATAGCTGCATCTATCCTCATCTAACCCTGACAGGGTTGCATGTTCAAATTATTTCACTATCTCACTCCAAGGTTTGGTTAAAAGTTGGCAGCCCTGCGAACATATGATGACAAGAGTTCTCGTAGGTCCGATATAAACCATTGCAAAACTTCTAACATGTTATCAGACTCGAGCGTTATAAATCAGATTTACTAGGTTATTTAGCTTAATGGTCAACTCATAGATAAGAGAAGAACAATGCTAGATTGTGTGCTATTTATATATGAAATTAAACACATTTAATGCAGAAGAGTAGAGCTTCAACTTCATTATTTTTGTTTAACATGTTAGAGAAGTATAATGTTTAAAAAAACCCTGTCTTTTACATGTTACCTTTACAAAAAAACAAGCTATTCCATCATAAACCTGTCCAAAATAACATAGCAGTTGCTAACAGGGCATGCTAGTTAGCCACAGCAGCTAGCCTCTCGGTGCTAAAACTATCTTCACCGCAGGTAACAAAACCAGATTTCCATACCTTCCGTTACTAACTCAGTTGGAGCTGAAAGGCAGGCTTTGAAGGATAACTGGAGAAAAATAACCAAACAAAGGGCGTAAATATTTCCTCTGCGTTGCCTCTGATATCCGTGTGTCGCCATGTTGGTGAGTGACTGAAGGGGGCGGGCTTTGTCGGCCACATCTACACAAGCATCTGGGTGTGCATCATTCTATAGCCGCTGAGCAGAGCGGTACCGGGAGTGGGCGGGTTTGTGGTGGTAATTAAAAACACTCATTGACGTTTTCAGTTATTTAAAAAATCAGGCTGATTTAACAGTCTTTCTGTCCTGTCAATAAACGCTTATTGTCAAATCCTGATGCAATATCTAACCATAATGCAGAGGCGTAGCCAGAAAATCTTTATAAGGGTGGCCATGGAATAACCATTGTACACTGAGGGCTGGCCGAAAGCAGATAGGCGCCAGAACCTCAGGCTCAATCTACACTATTGCAACAGGAAAATTAACAAGCACAACAGCCATATTTTCTAAATAAAGACAAACTATACTTTCCTACAACCTTTGCTAACAAATATATTTAAACATCTGTGTTTTCTAGTTAAAAGGTATAGTATATATAATTCTTTCAGTTTTGAGTTCTGGGGAGAACATATCTTCCTTTCTTCATCACTTACCTACTTTTATCAACAATTATTCTGCATGAAATTGATATTTACAAGTACTAATATATACATAAATTGATTATTAAGTTTTTATTAAAATATTAATTTATCATTTATCATGATTTTCACTGAAGACTCCTAGATGACTTTCAGAGGCACATCATTTTTTCTTTACTCCATATAACATATAATCTAGTTCTGAAAAGAGCGTGAATTATAATATTTAATGTTAGTATAATGATGTGCATAATTGACCACATTGTTTTTGTTGTCAAGTAATTGTTAATATATGAAAACTTAAAATGTTTGGAATATTCCACTTGAGAGTGTTAATGCTGCCACCGTCTGTGTTAGAGGGGAAGAAAATGGTAGGGGTGCCACAGGGGTGGCCAATAATTAGCTAAGGGTGGCCATGGCCACCCCTGGACCCCCATCTAGCTCCGCCCCTGCCATAATGTACTATTTCGATGAAATTCAGCCACAGCAAGGCTTTGAACTACGGAGTCAAAGTAAGGGAAGGACAGGACTGTCCCATGACAATATGTGACACTGTGTCCTTTTAAAAGCTAATAGTTCTTTGTTTCCGCTCAGGTTTTTTTTTTAATGACAGAGAGTTGTTACTTAAAGAACCAGTTTAACTGCAAGTCAATGTGCATTCCTACGTCTCTGGGTGTGATATGTTTCCAGAATATGAACCTCAACAAGGAAGGGATATCATTTAAACCTGGTCCATATTACAGCTTGAAATCAGTCGATAAATGTGTAAAGTGATTTGCACCTTCAAAGGGGGATGAAAAGCTACATTTATGCTCCATTTAAGAGGAAAAAAACTCCTCCCTCACCACTACCTCTTCAGTTCTACCCAGACTGCAAACCAGCAAACTGTTATAGAACATATGAGCATTTTCTTGGTTAGTTCCCTGTTTTAGATTTCTTTTTTAAACTAGCAAAATGTTTAATAGTTATCAAAGAGTTATCAAGTGTTCATTTAAAAGACGTTTGATATTGGGAAAAATCTTTAAAACATGCATACAATAACAGCAATAAAAGTACGCCACATTAGAAATTTGTTGCAATGAAATTTTGCACCTGGGAAACTTAAAATAGCTCTAAGATGTCGGACTCCCGTTCTCCGTCCAACCTTTTTTAAAACTTCATTATCCCCACAGCATGACAGGGACACTACCCTGCATTTAATTAACTGGTGAATGAATAACTTAGACTTAGACACATTTTATTGGCATCATAAAAAAATAAAAGAACAAAAGAAAGAACTTCACAGTCAAAGTCATTCATCCAGTTTTTACAAACTGATGTCGTGGCACCAAACTAAATGCTGCATGAGTGAACCAGAGTTATCACAAACGTCCTGTTTAAAGGCACGCCCAGGCTCTGACAGGTTACGTCAGTTTTAGTGCAAGAAGTGTTTGTTATGTAAATAATGATTGTTCCAGTTCCTGTTTGACAGGTCATAAAATACCTACAATTTGTCTCATATGTAGAGTAATATTTATTTGTTCCAAGTAATTTATATTGTACAGGATTTATAAAGAGTAGAAAAAAGTAGTATGTTGAAGGAAATTGAATTAATACCATTGAAAGGTAATAAAAGGTAAGAAACAGAATTTGACTGTAGGAACCTCCTTGTCACCCCTTCAATATATTCAAACTTTTCCATTGATGTTCATCCCCCCCCCCCCCCCCCCCCCCCCCCCCCCCCCAGTTCATTTAAATTTAAAATTTGTATCAAAATGTTCCTGTGAGCAGTGTGGTGTGTAGAACCACCTAATTTTGTTGAAAGTCATTTTTTGCCTCAATGTGGGGACATTTCGGTTCACTGTAAAACTTGACAAGTAAATGTAACAGAAAGCATTTAAGGAAACCCATTAAGTTAAATAGAAAAATGCAATTATGTACATTTAATATTTTTGTGTAAGAAACATAGGTATCAGCATTTTAATGCACTTTTTTTATTCTGCTTACTCAACTTAAGACCAATACGATTCCTAGATTTAAATTTATTTTTCAATTTATATATAAATTTATATATAAAAATATATTTAATCAACAGCAGCCTTAGTGTGGTGTTGCATGACCAGCCTCACCCACTAATCATCCAGTTGGGTCTTATTATCAAAATCTGTATTTTATTTACTCCATCTTTGACAGTGTGATGGCTGCATGTACTGCCTCACAGATGTGGTAACATACCATTTGATATTTAGTTTCCTTGTTAAATAGGGTTTCATTATTTGGGATTTTTTTTTATCACCACTGCACTGTATTTCAAAATTAGTGTCCACATTCTGTTTCAGCTGATCTAGTCCCTTGACTGAGGAACCAGCAGGTGGCTGAGCTAATTTGGACTACAGGTGCTGGTCATAAAATTAGAATATCATGAAAAAGTAGATTGATTTCAGTAATTCCATTTAAAAAGTGAAACTTGTATATTATATTCATACATTACATACAAACTCATATATTTCAGATGTTTATTTGGTTTAATTTTGATGATTACAAATGACAACAAATGAAAATCTCAAATTCATCATATCAGAAAATTAGAATATTACTGAAGACCAATAAAAACAAAGGATTTATAGAAATGTTGGCCAACTGAAAAGTATGAACATGAAAAGTATGAGCATGTACAGCACTCAGTATTTAGTTGGGCCTCCTTTGGCCTGTATTACTGCAGCAATGCGGCGTGGCATGGAGTCGATCAGTCTGTGGCACTGCTCAGGTGTTATGATAGCCCAGGTTGCTCTAATAGTGGCTTTTAGCTCTTCTGAATTGTTGGGTCTGGTGTATTGCATCTTCTTCTTCACAATACCCCATAGATTTTCTATGGGGTTAAGGTCAGGAGAGTTTGCTGGCCAATTAAGAACAGGGATACCATGGTCCTTCAACCAGGTACTGGTAGCTTTGGCACTGTGTGCAGGTGCCAAGTCCTGTTGGAAAATGAAATCTGCATCTCCAAAAAGTTGGTCAGCTGCAGGAAGCATGAAGTGCTCTAAAACTTCCTGGTATGTGGCTGCGTTGACCCTGGACCTCAGAAAACACAATGGACCAACACCAGCAGATGACATGGCACCCCAAACCATCACTGACTGTGGAAACTTTACACTGGACTTCAAGCAACGTGGATGAAGTGCCTCTCTTCTTTTCCTCCAGACTCTGGGACCTTGATTTCCAAAGGAAATGCAAAATTTACTTTCATCAGAGAACATGACTTTGGACCACTCACCAGCAGTCCAGTCCTGTTTCTCTTTAGCCCAGGCAAGACGCTTCTGACGCTGTCTGTGGTTCAAGAGTGGCTTGACACAAGGAATGCGACAGCAGAAACCCATGTCTTTCATACGTCTGTGTGTGGTGGTTCTTGAAGCACTCACTCCAGCTGCAGTCCACTCTTTGTGAATCTCCCCCACATTTTTGAATGGGTTTTGTTTCACAATCCTCTCCAGGGTGCGGTTATCTCTCTTGCTTGTACACTTTTTTCGACCACATCTTTTCCTTCCCTTCGCCTCTCTATTAATGTGCTTGGACACTGAGCTCTGTGAACAGCCAGCCTCTTTAGCGATGACCTTTTGTGTCTTGCCCTCCTTGTGCAAGGTGTCGATTGGACAACTGTCAAGTCAGCAGTCTTCCCCATGATTGTGTAGCCTATAGAACTAGACTGAAAGACCATTTAAAGGCTTTTGCAGGTGGTTTGAGTTAATTAGCTGATTAGAGTGTGGCACCAGGGGCCATCAATTTTGAACCTTTTCACAATATTCTAATTTTCTGATATGATGAATTTGAGATTTTCATTTGTTGTCATTTGTAATCATCAAAATTAAACAAAATAAACATCTGAAATATATGAGTTTGTATGTAATGTATGAATATAATATACAAGTTTCACTTTTTAAATGGAATTACTGAAATCAATCTACTTTTTCATGATATTCTATTTTTATGACCAGCACCTGTATACCACATAAGCGGTATGGGGGAAATGGGGTTTTGCTTCATTTTGTTCAGTTAGGTTTGTGTAAGTTTTGTACCTTTTTTTTTAACTGATCAGCCACTATTTAAGTTTCTCTTTGTTTAAATAAGGCAGGTCAGTTTGTTTGAGTTAGTTCTGTTATTGTTTATTTTGACTATAGTTTTTGTTTCTTTTACCTCATGTTTGGTTACATTTTGTACTTGTGACATTTTTTTCTTTTTGGGATTAAATAAAAGAACCTTGTCTTTTGAAAACACACCTGTGTTGGACTGTTCTTACTGTTCGATCCATAACAGAGAGGGAAAATGCAAAGTAACAGTGACAAAACAAAGCCTCTGAAGTTCTGCATATAAAGTTTACAGTCTAAGGTAAGTTTCAATTCCTGTCCCTGAAGTGGCCACTTCCTTATTAAAGTCAAGTCGTTCCTCATTAGGTTATTTAAGTTGCGCTTGGTTAATGCACAAATAACTCGGACTAATCCATAGAGGGGACTGTATCTAAAAAGATAACACATTTCACTAC